CTACCAACTCCAAATCGTAAGCTTCATCTCTGACCTCTATTACATATTCTAATCTCTCATATAATCTATTGTCCCTCTCCAACTTAATTCATGACAACAACATATCATTTGATCCTAACAGGTTCGTTATCAAGGACATGATGACAAACCAAGTTCTTCTCTATGGACCACCTCAAAAGGGTATGTATCCAATTTCCCCTAGTAATTCTCGTATCAAAACTGTAGTTTTTTCAGCAAGTTACCAATGTTCACATTGTAAAGTCTCAAAAGCTACAAACTGAGTTTTCCCGTCTCATATACAAAATCATCACATCCTTTAGAGATAATTCATTCTGATGTATGGGGTCCATCACCAGTTATAGCACATCAAGGTTTCAAGTATTATGTAATCTTCATTGATGATTACTCAAAGTTCATGTGAATTTTTCCTATGCATTAAAAATATGAGGTGTTTCAAATATTTGTGCAATTCAAAGTTTTCATAGAGAAACAATTATCATTCGAAATAAAATGATTTCGATCAAATTGGGGTAAAGAGTATGTAAACTCTCAGTTTGTAACATTTTTGAATCAAAATGGATCAAGCATCAAATTTCATGTCCATATACACTCGAACAAATTGGTGTAGCATAAAGGAAACACCGTCACCTAGTTGAAATGGCTAGAACACTATTGACTATTGCATCTATGCCTCACATGTATTGGCTTGATGCATCTCTTACAAAATCTTATCTCATAAATAGGCTACCATCTTGTGCTACAAATAAAAAATCCCCACTTTCAGATACTTTACAAACAATACCCAGATTATGCTGTTCTAAGAACATTTGGGTGTGAGTGTTTCACATGGCTTCCTCCTATTCAAAGACACAAACTTCAGCCCAAAGAAAAAGCATGTGTGTTTCTTGGCTATTCAAATAAATCAAAAGGCTACAAATGCTTGGATCTTACTGCAAATCGAATCTACACTTTTAGATATGTTACTTTTGATGAAAATTCTTTTCCATTTCAGCACAATCACAATTCCACCAAGATATCCTACACAAACAATACATCAACACTTCAACTGTTTGTACCCACATCTATAGCTTCACAACATCCTACATAACATCCTTTGAATCCTTCTACAACATCCACTATGCCTCAACAACTCTCAAATGATCCAACCATTCAGTCCATCCATTCGACTGAATTGGCATCCACAAATCATGATACCATTCAAAATCAACCACATGAACCTCAACCTCATCATCATATGGTAACTCGTTGTTGACCTCGATTTTGCCCAGAACCTTGGTCAAAAGGTTGACTTGATCAAATTGACCAAGTCAGACCTCGATTAACCACGGGGGCTTGCGCCTGTGGGAAACTTGGCCCCGCAATCTACTTTACCCCACTCGATCTCTCGTATCGAGTGGGGGAAACCCGTGACTAGGTCGTGTATATTGCTACCCATCGGGGTGTGCTGGCGACAGCATCTATCCCCAATGGTTAGTCGTATGCGCGATCCAATCTGCCCTCCCATCGACCCGTTCGTGTCGAGCGTAGAGGCCTACGATCGTTTTGTCCTACGGGATAGTGCGGCCGTACCCTCTGCATTCGAACCCCCGCGAGCGGTGCTCCTTCGGAGGCCCACACTCGTCTCAAGACGGGTCCCCCTAAACCATGAAATATTATCAATCTCATGCACATTCAGGATAATACCAAGTTGCTTGAACAATCTGATCCTTCATCATACATTGAAGTTGTCATGTTATCTCACTGGCGTCACAGAGGAATTCCTTACACTACAATATCATGACAAATGGATGTTAGTTCCACATCCAGCAAATAAACCGGTATTAAGAAACAAATGGACATTCCACACAAAATACCATTCAAATGGTTTCATTGCTTGGTTCAAAGCTAGACCGGTGGCTCAAGGGAACAATAAGAAGCATGGAATAAACTATATAGAGACATTTAATCCAGTTGCAAAATTTCCAACCATTCGTACATTTCTAACAGTAACATTATCAAATAAGTGGAATATACATCAACTTGATGTCACAAATGCATTCCTTCATGGAGACCTACAAGAAGTCATAAACATGAAATAACCAAAAGGATTTGAGGATAGCACACATCTGAGTCACGTGTGTCATCTAAGAAAAGCTATATATGGCTTAAAGAAATCACCAAGGCAATGGTTTCTAACATTATCTACATACCTCAAATCTCTTGGATTCAATCATAGGATATTTGATACATCTCTGTTTACACTTTATGATCATCAAACTCAAATTTATCTATTGATATACGTGGACGATATTCTCATTTCAAGAAATTATCATAAAATGCTATCTCATATTATATACAAATTAAACCAATGATTTGCCATGAAGCATCTAGGTGAAGCAAATAATTTTCTGGGAATTAACATCACTCACGACAAGCATTCATACTTTATGTTACAGTGAGATTATGCAAAGTCTATACTTCAAAATGCTGCTATGCTCAAGTGCAAATCTCCGGCCAATCCGAATTGCACGAAAATGCCTCTGAATATAGATTTAGGAAAACTTATAACGAAATCTCAAGAATATAGGAAAATCACAAGATCGTTGCAATACTTAACAATTACAAGGCTAGACATTGCATATACTATCAACCTACTCTATCAAGCAATGCACATCCCAACGATTCAGGATGCATACATTCTCAAAAGACTACTAAGGTACATTAAAAGCACCATGCAATTCAATATATATTCCAATATTGGAAGAACCGCTAATACTCAAAGCTTACTCGGATGCGGACTAGGCAGAGGACAAGGAATCTCATAGATCAACCACCAGCCAATGAACATTTCTGGGAAATACACTTATAGCTTGGAGTGTTAAGAAACAGAGAACAACAGCCAGGTCATCAGCAGAAGCTGAATATAGGGCTTTAGCAATGGAAACAATAGAAATAATATGGCTTAAAAGACTATTGAATGATTTCAAAATTGAGATTCGTGATCCAACTGATCTAATGTGTGATAATACATCGGTAATTGCTCTGGCAAACAATCTTGTATTTCATGCAAGAACAAAACATATAAAGATTGATCACTACTTTCTTCGGGATCTTATACAGAACAAGACAATACACATTACTTCTGTTTCTACAAGGGATCAACTAGCATATATTCTAACAAAACCTATATCAACAGCTAGATTCAAGTAGCTAATTAGGGACAAGCTAACAGTTCAAGAATCCTTGTCAGCTTGCAGGAGAGTAATAACAAGCTCTTAATATACGTTTACTTTAATGTCACACTGCTAATTTCAAAGATGTGAATGTATATTGTACCCATATAAGTACATAGTGTAATCAACTAAAGATGCAATGGAAAATACAAACATTATCTGCTAATGATCATTTCATCTTATCACTTCTTTAACTGCCACTTGGCCATCAATATTGTGGAATCATCTTTGCCATACCTCTATTGTTATAGAGCGTCATAATCCAACCTCCATCATCAACAGATTATCATCGTTGTTGGACCATTATCACCACACAACCTCATTTATTGAACCATCATTCTCAATCTTCTCAATTGGACTATGACCACCTGTACAATCATTTGATCGCTACCACTCGACCACCATCATTGCACAATCGTCGCCTACCTACCATGCATCATCAAACCACAATTTTTCTAGCATGGAACAATGATCTTTAATAGTTATATTTGAGAGAGAGAGAGAGAGAGAGAGAGAGAGAGAGAGAGAGAGAGAAGAGAGAGAAGAGAGAGAGGAGATAGAGGAGAGAAGAGAAGATGAGAAGGAGAGAAGGTCATAGGGAATTTGTCTGTTGGAAAGCTTCAATTGCCAAAGAGTTTCATTTATATCGTGAAATTCTGATGAATAAAAATTAATGAAAAAAATATGAAAATTTATGATAAAATTGATTAAAATTATTAAAAAAAATTTGAATTTTTTTAAAAAGACATATAAATATATGTAATATTTCATTAAATTTTAAAACTTATCCAAAACTAAATTCCATTAAACAATCTTCCCCAAATATTTTTTCTATAAAAAATATTATATTCCACTGCCCTAAAAAAAAGGCAAAATCCGTTTCATTTAATTAAACAAAATAAACTCTCAAAACTTTTTTTTCTATTACCATTTTTAATTTATGATACATACAAATTATTATATGATAAACAAATTATCATTAGTAAAAATAGAAAGAACAAAATATAATGCTCCCCAAATAAAAAAAAAAAAACTATGCTCCTCCGTCATAAATACACAAATATATATTTTCGTACAGCAATAATAAATAACAATTAATTTTGTCAGTAAGGAAATATCATAGTAAATTCCAAAATAGCCTCTTTACACATTTCAAAATATTGTAAGCAATATTTTATTCATAATATAAACAATTTCTTATTAAACTTTAGATATCTTCATTTTTTCTATTTTATAAAATTACAGTCAACCAAGATAATTATAAAAATATATATTTTTTACTAGACATAAAATATTCTTTAAGAAAATATAACTAAATATTCATTGCATTTTTTTAAAAATGTATAGTTAAAATTACTGTCTTTAATCATATTTTTAAGTTATAGTGATTCTTTTAAATTAATTATTACTAATAGTACATAATTAACTTTTTAATTTAATTTTCATATTGTTAAATAACTATATCTTTAATTAGTTAAAAAATAGTTAAGATTGCAGCTTATAAAACATGATTAACAATGGTTCAAACAAGTAATTAATTTATGCTATACGATAAATTAAAAAAAATTATTATTATAATGATGATTAATTAAACATTCCTTTCAGACATGAAAATAGAGCTGAAAAATTGCACTCAATCAAGCTTTCATTAATGGCCATTTAATATTCCCCATGACCTATCTCTGTAGGCGGTGGTATAGTTGTATGAAATAAAGGCTCCTCTTCTCCATCCTTATAGCTATAGCTCAATTCTCTTCTCTTCTTCTCTCAGAAAATATATTTTTTTTAAGAAAATCATGAGCTCTCACAAGAAAGCTATTCATGAGAGAGAAGAAGAAGAAAAACAAGAGATTAATCAAAACAATGATGAAGAAGACAGCAAGAAGAAGAACAAGAAGCAGCAGGCGCAAAAGAAGGTGCCTTTCAGCAAGCTCTTCAGCTTCGCCGACCCCTTTGACTGCCTTCTCATGACATTAGGAAGCGTCGGAGCTTGCGTGCATGGCGCCTCTGTCCCCGTCTTCTTCATCTTCTTCGGCAAACTTATCAACATTATCGGCATCGCCTATCTCTTTCCCACTTCTGTTTCTCATCAAGTCGCCTTAGTACGTTCATTCAAGTCCCCACATTTTCTTATATTCTAAGAAAAAAAATAATAAATTTTCACTTTATATGCACAGAGATCTGTATTTTTCTGCAACAAGTCTCTAACAACAACAGGAACTTAAGATCACTGAGAGCTTCTCTATAGATTCTTTTGTCATAAAAGTTAAAAAAAATTGTTGATTTCTGAACGTGAAACTGAAAAGTATATGATGGTTAATTAAATTAGTTTATTGACGAACTGATTAATCAAAATTTGTCATTGCATGCAGTACTCTCTGGACTTTGTATACTTAGGCATAGTCATTCTGTTCTCTGCATGGACTGGTAAGCAAAAATTAACTTGATTTACTGTACTTAATCAACATAATTAAGATGATTAATCATATTTATCTTGATTAATTAATGATGATGGTGAAGAGGTGGCTTGCTGGATGTACACTGGAGAGAGGCAAGTGGCAAAGATGAGGCTGGCTTATTTGCGAGCATTGTTAGATCAAAATATTGAGCTGTTTGATACTGAAGCTTCAACTGGAGAGGTGATTGCTGCCATCACCGGTGATATTATTATCGTCCAAGATGCAATTTCTGAAAAGGTAAAACTTTTACTCTTTTTTTCATTTTGAAAAATCGAAATTCAACGTTAAATTAAAAAAAAAATTATATATTTCTTGTTGAATAAATGGTTAAATGTTAATTAAACGTTAATTGTTAAATGTTAAGGTAAATAATTAGTTATTGTTCATTTACTAAGCACCAACTGCAAGCTAAGCCATCTGTAGTGCCATTATTAGAGTTGGTGTGCATTAATTGTAGATGTATACTTTAAAGAAGCAGTAATATTATAACTGTATGGCCAAGCATAATTAATTGGAAGGGAGCTTTGGTTTGTTTTTTTCGACAACTTTTTATTATTTTATAGAGCAATTTTTTAGAATTTTTTAACTAAAAACTCACTCTATAAAAAAGAAAGAAAGCTGTTCCAAACAAAGTCTTAGAGGATAGCATTTCGTCATTATTTTTTTTAAAAAAATTGTGCTAGAAAATAGATGTAGAAAGCAGTTAAAAAACTATTCCAAACGAGACATTAGAGTCTAGGCTTCATTTTGAATTGCTTTTGATAATTTATTTTTAGTTGTTTTTAAGAACTGTCCCAAATGAAGCTTAAGATTTTGAATTTTTTTTCTTAAAAAATTAATTGATTTATTCTCAATATTTGTAGTTGAAATCTATTTAAAAAAATGATGATAAAATTTTATTAATTATTAAGCTCCTAATCAAAGAAAATTTTATACAATTTGAAAATGATAATAATTCATAAAACAATAAATTACAATATTAATCACTTAAGCCCCTAAACAAATTAGAATCATTTGATTCCACTGTGAACTTTGAATCCACTCTATTTAGTACATTATATTACACTTTCAACCACCCATTTCAACTTCAATTACTTAAGGATTGCAATTATTTTAATTTCTGGGTATCAATTTATAAATAATATAAGCCATGAAAGGCTAAAAATCAAGGCTAGCCGGTTGTTAAATAATTTTTTTAATAATAATATTATTTATATCAAAATAAATTTTGTTCAATACAATACTTCTTATAATAATAAATACTGATAAATAGTTTTTCATCATAAATTATTTTTTTTATCGTTGATCATAAATAAATTTGATGATATATAGTTATTATCAAAACTTAATGTAAATATTATTATTATTATCAATTAAAAACACTAATCAAATTGTTAGTTCTCATCAATAAGATTAAAAAAAAATTATATTGAAAGATTTGCAACACCTCTTGCTCGCTTCCAAATTAAGCTGTTGTTTGTCTTGGCGTTTTTTGCGCCTTTTTCCTGTTACGCGGGGGAATTTTTTGTTTGTTGGTTTCTTCAATCGCAGGTTCTCAATAACTCCTTTTTTGTCATTTTTCTGCGGGTTTTGAGATAAGATTTTTATATATTGCTGTTCGACAAACTTCTTTTTTGAAAACTAATGTTTTTAATGCTGTCTTTTACAAAAGCATCAAAAACAACTGATTGCCTAAAGCTTTTTTGGATTGGGAATGCATTTTTTCCGTTTTTTTAAAAGATTATTGTTTTACAAATAAAAAAGCTTATAAGCATTAAGAAAGTCCACTTTTGTCTTGGGCTCATATAACCCCATCCATGCCCATATTGGTGACTTATTAATTATAAACAGTTAATTATTTTCGTAAGCTTTTACTCCTATTCTATAAGTCAATTAGTGTCAAAAGTAATAGATAATAATAAAATTTTTATCCTTTTTACTAATTTTATTTTTTGTGTGAATAATTAAAACCATAATTTTTTTAGCCAGTTTATTTATGTCTTTTTTTTTTAGTTAGAAAGGTTTATTTCATACTTATAAATTAAATGTTTAATGTTTCAAATCGTTTTTATTATTACTTCACCGACAGTCATAGCAATAGTAGAATCCCAGTAAATTTTTTTAGATATATTTCATATGTTTTCTGAATCTTCTTTGGTAAATGCATAATCAACAATTTCGTGAATCGATGAATTTCTTTTCTTAAAATATTATGACAATATTTTTCTTAGGTATTTTAAATAGAAATCAAATTACCAATTTTCTTAGCATCATTTTATATTTTATTTAAAAAAATTTAATCATAAATTGAATATTTCAAAGTCTATAAATAATAGTTTTATTGTATGGAAAATAATTATAGATTCCAAAACGTGGAGCCTTTTACTTGCCACAAAGTTGAATTTATGAGTATTAAAATAATTTTAAATATATTCAAGAAATTTAATTAATGAAATAGTTAATAAAATTAGATTTTTTTAATGTTTCTATTTATCTTTATTTTTTTCATATTCATTGAAATTATAATTAATTTCAAAATTAATAAACTTTCATTCATAAATAATTTATTAGTTTAGAATTTAGATACAAATTTTTTAAATCATCTTGAAATTGAAGACCTTATAAATGCGAGATATAGAATAAATGTGGAAGATGAATGATATTTGAAAGAAAAAATTCATCATTAATTAAGAGAAATTTAACTTGTTGTTTTAATAATAAATTATTTTTTATTTTATTAACTTAAAATTTCAATTTAATTATGAATATCATTTTTAATAATCAATATTTATATGTAGATTTTGAGTGATTGAAATAAAAATTTCCAAAATATTAGTAAGAAAATATTATTAAGATTCCTGAATTGAAACCTAATTTTTATCAAATTTAATTATCAAATAATTATATTCATATTTTAAAAAATTTAAAAATAGTGAAAAACGCCTTGTTTAGCCGCCGGCACATCGCCGCTGCGAGTCTAATCTCCGGCGACGAACGCTGAGAATGTCGCTCTGGATTGATGAATCAGCGATGATTATGACGAATTATCAGTTTTTTTTCTAATTTTTTTGGTAGGTCGGGAACTTCCTGCACTACATCAGCCGCTTCCTCTGCGGCTTCGCTATCGGGTTTTCTCGCGTATGGCAGATCAGTCTAGTAACGCTCTCAATCGTCCCCCTCATCGCCGTCGCCGGCGGCATCTATGTTTTTGTCGCCACTGGCCTCATCGCTCGTGTCCGCAAATCCTACGTCAAGGCCGGCGAGATCGCGGAAGAGGTCGCTCCCTTGCTTTTTGCTGAAGTTGCCAAGTTCTTGTCTTTTTTTTTTTTTTAATCTGTTGGAGCTTATTGGGGTTTCGGAATCGCAGGTGATCGGAACTGTGAGGACGGTACAGGCGTTCGTGGGGGAGGAGAAGGCGGTGAAGAGCTACAGGGCTGCGCTGCAAAATACGTACAAGTACGGGAAAAAGGGTGGATTGGCGAAGGGGTTGGGGCTGGGTTCTTTACATTGCATTCTCTTCCTCTCATGGGCGTTGCTGGTTTGGTTTACAAGCATTGTGGTTCATAAGGAGATATCTAATGGAGGAGAATCTTTTACCACCATGCTCAATGTCGTCATTGCTGGACTGTAAGACTCTATTCTTATGAGTTCTTGTTGTTTCTTTCACTTCCTTTTTGATTTGTTTTCAATACTTCATCAATTCTAAAACTAATTGCCGGTTGATTTCAGTAAGATTTACCCTGTCTCACTTGATTGAGTAATTTCTGAGTTGATGAATTTTGATAAAATGCCATGCAGGTCACTGGGGCAGGCAGCTCCAAATATCTCCACATTCCTCAGAGCAAGAACTGCTGCATACCCAATCTTCAAGATGATAGAAAGGAAAACGGTGCGCCAAACTGCAGCCAGAGCTGGGCGGAAGCTTCCCATTGCGGATGGTCATATTCAATTCCGTAATGTTTCTTTCAGCTATCCTTCACGTCCTGATGTCCTCATCTTCAACCGGCTTAATTTGGACATCCCATCTGGGAAAATAGTTGCATTAGTTGGAGGCAGTGGATCAGGCAAAAGTACTATTATCTCACTTATCGAACGGTTTTATGATCCCCTCTCTGGTGCAATACTTTTGGATGGGCATGATACGAGGGATCTTGACCTTAAGTGGCTGAGGCATCAAATTGGATTAGTTAACCAGGAGCCTGCCCTTTTTGCCACAAGCATCAGGGAGAACATTCTTTATGGGAAAGATGGTGCTTCCCTTGATGAGATTACACATGCTGCTAAGCTCTCAGAGGCAATAACCTTCATTAATAACCTTCCTGATGGTTATGAGACACAGGTAATCAATCTACTTTTTTTATTGCAAATAAGGGTGTAAAGAAGCCAAAGATGAAGGCTTTCTTAGTTAATTATCAAGCTAAAGTTGAACTAGCTCAGATTCACTAACCATTTGACTCTTAATAAGCATGGCTTGATTTGTTGTTATTTGAGAATTTTGACACCCTTTACTGAAAACTAGAACAGTAAAGGCCTTTAATGTTGCATGATTCCATTTGTACTTGTAGGTTGGAGAAAGAGGAATCCAATTATCAGGAGGGCAGAAGCAACGCATTGCAATATCTAGAGCGATACTGAAGAACCCTTCCATTCTCCTTCTTGATGAGGCCACTAGTGCTTTGGATGCTGAGTCTGAAAAGAGTGTACAAGAGGCACTTGATCGGGTGATGGTTGGCCGCACCACGGTTGTGGTGGCACATAGGCTTTCAACAATCAGGAATGCTGATATCATTGCTGTTGTTGAAGGTGGAAAGATTGTGGAGACAGGAACCCATGACCAGCTTATTTCACAGCCTCAAAGCATGTACTCATCACTTGTTCATATCCAAGATGCTGCAAGTCTGCGAGGCTCCTTTGAGAGTTCAAGTTTTAGGAGGCCTCAAAGGTAATGATCATGCATGCAAGTTATAAAATACATTCGCTTTGCAATTTATCCTATTTTTTGTTTCTCTTAGCGTCAAGTTTTCACGAGAGCTCTCCCTTGGAGCTACAAGTTTAGGAGCCAGCTTCAGATCTGATAAGGATTCAGTTGGCCACTTTGTTCCTGAAGCAAACGATCCTTCAAAAAAGAAGCATGTTTCTGTGGGAAGATTATATTTCATGGTTGGTCCTGATTGGATTTATGGAGTGTTTGGCACTGTGGGTGCTTTGGTGGCAGGAGCACAAATGCCACTTTTTGCTCTTGGAGTAACACAGGCTCTTGTTTCCTATTACATGGCTTGGGAGACCACACAAACTGAAGTGAAGAAAATTGCTCTCCTTTTCTGTGGTGGTGCTGTTCTGACAGTGATTTTCCATGTCATGGCACATCTCAACTTTGGCATCATGGGTGAAAGGCTTACGCTTCGTGTCAGGGAGAGAATGTTTGGAGGTATGCATGTTTTCTTCTTTCAAAAAATTATTTTCTATAACCTCTTTCTCTTTTTTCTCTCTCTGTCTCTCTATTATTCTTTTGTTAGTGGTTGTTTTCCTCCTGTAAGTTATAACCTTTATCATCTTGGCATCAATTACTTTAGCATTTTGCCATCTAGAGTGAACACTCCACCGTTTCGCATAGTAGCATGACGCTTGTAGTGCTCTCCCACAACTCCATTTTCACGGTTTAGGCTGCTCCCATTTTGCTCGCTGCTACTACGGGAATCGCTTTTGCTTTCTTTTCCTCTGGCTACTAAGATGTTTCAGTTCACCAGGTTGTCTCTTGCCTGCCCATGGATTCAGCAGCAGTTCGAAAGGTTGACCTATTCGGGAATCTCCGGATCTATGCTTATTTTCAACTCCCCGAAGCATTTCGTCGCTTGCTACGCCCTTCCTCATCTCTTTGAATATAAATATCTCATATTTTACTTGCTTGTTAAATTCTGTAATATCATGCATGACCTTTTTCAGAAGATGATTGAAACAATTTAGCTTTATACTGTGAGTGACTGTCTGATATTTTTGTTAATTTTGTTTCAGCGATGTTACAAAATGAGATTGGTTGGTTTGATGATGCAAGGAATAACAGCGCAATATTAGCATCTCATCTTGAAACAGATGCAACACTACTTCGAACTATAGTTGTAGACCGCTCATCTATACTAATTCAAAACATAGGAATGATTATAACATCACTTGTTATTGCCTTCATCCTTAATTGGAGGATAACTCTTGTTGTTTTGGCAACATACCCATTGATGGTTAGTGGCCATATTAGTGAGGTAGAGTTCTTTTTCCCATATACCTTCTTTTTTCTCATGATGTGATGAAACACAGATTACCAATCTATTTTTTTCTTACATGGTCTGCACCATCAGAAATTATTCATGAAGGGATATGGAGGTAACTTGAGCAAGGCCTATTTGAAAGCCAACATGCTAGCTGCTGAGGCTGTGAGCAACATTCGTACTGTTGCTGCCTTCTGTTCTGAGGATAAAGTCATTGATTTATATTCGAGGGAGCTCAAGGATCCCTCAAGTCGATCTTTCCGTCGTGGGCAACTTGCTGGTCTTTTTTATGGAGTCTCTCAATTCTTCCTGTTCTCCTCCTATGCCCTTGCTCTCTGGTATGTGATTCTGGAAATCCTCTACCAGCTCATTCTTTGTCAAAGTTGTTGCAAACTTCTTCTCCATATTGCTTTATTATGAGCCTGGATTTGCAGAGTTATGTCATAAGTATGAACTATCAAGTGCAAGGCTTTTATGCCTTTTTTTTTTCTAGCTTGTTCATGACTGTTTTCCTGGACATAATTGTAGTTTAATTGAATGCATTCACGTGTAGCTACTTGGATTTTATAGATCTGGGAATCTTCATTTCATCCTTCTAATTTTTTAAGGTGCAAATTTGAAATCTCCATTGTTCAGGAAGCTTGCGTTAAAAGCATTTCTGATCTGAAAATGAATTGAAATGGCATGGTCCCTATCCAACAATTACATGACTGTTACTTTTGTAGCTTACACTAAGGATTAGTGCTTATATGAAGCGAAATTCGACCTGGGTTCTCATTTAATTGTTTGAATTACCAACAAGATCAAACTTGAAACTTAAAATTACTGGCTTCGAAATTTTAAATGCTTGGAATCTTGGTTTGGAGCCTATTTCGATTTTCAAATAGCTTGGTCAAAAGTTCCCATTGCGTTAAGAGATTATGAATAATGGTGTCTTGTTATATTTAATAATGCTTCAGGTATGGCTCAGTTCTTATGGGCAAAGAACTCGCAAGTTTCAAATCTGTTATGAAGTCCTTCATGGTCTTGATAGTTACCGCACTAGCTATGGGAGAAACCTTGGCAATGGCACCAGACCTTGTTAAAGGGAATCAGATGGCGGCTTCGGTTTTCGAAATACTAGACCGGAAGACTCAGGTGGTGGCTGATATTGGGGAGGAACTTGTGAGAGTCGAGGGAGTCATAGAGTTGAGGGGTGTTGAGTTCTATTATCCTTCAAGGCCTGAAGTTATTATCTTCAGAGATTTTGACCTTAGAATGAAATCTGGAAAAGCCATGGCATTAGTTGGCACTAGTGGATCTGGAAAGAGTACTGTGTTGACTTTGATTCTAAGATTTTACGATGTAGCTGCTGGAAAAGTGATGATTGATGGTATGCAAACACAAAAGATGATGTTATTTACATCTTTCTTATGCTGCCTACTTTCTTCTGATTTATAGCCAACTTTTACAGGTAAAGACGTTAGGAAACTCCACCTCAAGTCCCTGCGTAAGCACATAGGGCTAGTTCAGCAAGAACCAGTCCTTTTTGCTACCTCCATTTATGATAACATTATCTATGGAAAGGATGGTGCAACAGAGGCAGAGGTTATTGAGGCAGCCAAACTTGCAAATGCTCACTCTTTCATTAGTTCACTCCCAGAAGGGTACTCAACCAAGGTTGGGGAACGAGGAGTGCAGCTTTCAGGTGGCCAGAAGCAGCGCGTCGCCATTGCACGAGCCATTATCAAGAACCCTGCCATTCTGTTGCTCGATGAGGCCACAAGCGCCCTTGATGTAGAGTCAGAGCATGTGGTTCAGCAGGCACTTGACAGGATCATGAAGGGACGCACCACCATTGTTGTGGCTCACAGGCTATCTACTATCCAAAATGCAGATGTAATATCAGTCCTGCAGGATGGAAAGATTGTTGAGCAAGGTAGCCATTCAGCTTTAATGGAAAATATAAACGGTGCATATTTTAAATTGATCAACCTTCAGCAGCAGCAACAGCAGCGTTGATATTTTGTTATTGGTGAGACTTTTCTTCTGATTAAGCCAGACAAATAGTAATGATGGCTTACACAGCAGAAATGATCTCTCTTATTTACACAAGTGAGTTTTACATTGTTTTCCCTTATTTTATAATACTGTAACCATTTGTATGGCAGCTTGCTAGCATTATTTGATGTCAATAAATACTATTTATACAGTAAGCTATCCTTCACTGATTGAAATGTAAACATGGAGTGGAAATCACCTCCTGCTTTACCAGCTGCTGAATCTAACTTAGATCTACAACTCATATATGTATTCTACTTTTATGCCAACTAGCTTCTTATTTGTGTCTAGCGGTCCCTGAAAACTTCTGGAGGGGAGGCTAAGGCTTCGTTTGGGATGACTTTTTTACTGCTTCTTAAAGCAGCTTTCTAGTAAAAAAATTAGAATATTTGTACTAAAAAACTGCTTTAAGAAATAATAAAGCCTAAGTTTTAATCATTATTTGATTGCTGACATGATATGATGCTTCCCTTTCACTTCGACTTCATTGGTAGAAGATTTGATTTATTAACAAGATTTAAAGCAGTACATGTTGCAAGTCTGAATGCCCGTGTTCATTGCGAATGTAATTCAGGTGTATCAAATTTTCATCTTTTTGCCTACTTCATTTAAAGTTTTAAAGTATGCTATGATGTCAACTCTTATATGAACAAGATGTGCTCTCTAATATTTTGAACAGTCTATTATGTCGAACGGATCACTGCATGATTTTATAATTCAACCCATTCAATTCCAACGAACACTTTGTTCAAAATGACTATCTCAATGTGAATGTTAAGTACTATTCGCTTTTGTTGTGTTTCATGTTGTGAAAACAATAAATGGTGAATGAAATTTTGTCAAGATACTTGCCAATTTTTGTTTTTCTAGGGTGAACTTATCTTTACTGAAAGTATTAAGTTCGTCACAATTCTTTTTGTGGAATCAGGCATTTCGATGAGATGAATCTAACAAGCTTAAGATCTCTTAACTTCGATATCATTAAGTCAAGTGAATGTTGGAGAATGGTTTATGATCTAGAGGATTAATATTGGGAGTCCGATCTAGTGTTTCAGATTTGATTGTTTGTAGAGTATTATACTGTCTAAAATTAGAAATACATGCTCACCCTTTAAACAAAAGTAGCTCTTGGTTTAAGATTCTGGAGAGATTTGAGACTCGAAAAATCTCAAAGATCTATCAGATCTTTGTCGTCTAATTATTGACCTTTAATCATTAATTGTAGATGGACTAACACCAATTGACCACTGTCATCAAAGCTTCGTTGTTTGATCACTACTGTTGAACCACAACTGTCTAATTACTATCATCTGACCTCCATCAATTGACTATGCTACTCCAACCAACTTTGCAAGACTACAATTCTTCGAGCACCATTTCCCAATTATAAATCTCTGACAACTCTTACCCTACTATAGTTCTCCGACCACCATTGTTCAACTACGATCATTTAATCATCGTCGCTCAACTATAGCCCTTCAACCATTGTCACTTGATTATGGTGTCCTGACCACAGTTGTCTGACTGTGATCTTCCGATCACAATCTCCCAATGATAATTCTTCCATCACAATTGCCTTACATTACTGACCACAATCTCTGATCACCATTGCCCAATTACGTTTCCTCGGTCATTGTCACCCAACTATGGTCTCTTGACTACCATCACCACCTAACTACACTGCTCGACTACAATCACTTGACAAATGTTGCCCAAACACCATCACCCGACTATGTTCCTCCTATCATTATAGCCTAATTATAGCCCTCAATCACCATCACTAGAATTTGATCTTCTGACCAATGTTGTTGAATTACAATCCCCTAACCACAATCACTTGACTATAGTCTGTCAACCACCATTGCTAGACTACAAACCCACAATCTGTCACGACCCAACCGGATCGAAATGAATCCCATCACGTTGAGTCACGACGAATAACCCCAGGATCTAGCTTTGGAATTTGTTTTCAGAGTTTTCTTCCAATACACAGACATACTGAAAACACAGAGCTACTATAAACATTCAAATATACAAAAAAAACTCATCTATGATTTTCTTTTTTTTCATTCTTCAAAATAATCATATACATTACAGTACATGGCTTCAGACAAAAGATATAGAATAGAAAGTAAACAGTCATGACTGTACAAAAATCAAAAGTACAAAAATACCTATACTTCAGATCAGGCCCTGAACGGCTAATCCAAAACTTCATTTTCCTTCCCAGAACTTGAAAACCATGAAGATAACCACAATGAGTTAACAGTTCAACAAGACTACAGTAGCCGATCTAAATTCCTAGTTATTCTCAAAATACATAATAAAAGCTTAAAAAAATAGTTTATTCAAATAGTCTTACAGAAGTCAGATACTAGTACATAAATTAGAATATCATACATAATTCAGAGATTCATACAGAATAGAAATCAAACATAATACAAATATTCATACAGAATATATAAGATAATAGAGACAGAAGAGCTGAATCAAATTCATGTCATAGAATTATGCAAATCAGAATTCAAATCAAAGTTTAGAACAGATTTCAAAAAACATTCAAATCACATTTCAAAATAGATTTTCCTAACCCAAACAGAATCTCAAAGGATTCTGGCCCCTTATGCCTCCCTTCCCTGACACAGACAGAATCTCAAAGAATTCTGGCTCCTTATGCCTCCCTTTGTGCTTACAACACCAGAACATATCAAATATACATAATTATCATATCATAATTCATTTTCATATTCTCGGACTCAGACAGAATCTCAAAGGATTCTGGCCTCTTATGCCTCTCTTCCTTGATACAGATAGAATCTAAAAGGATTCTGACCTCTTATAACTCACTTCTGACATCATTCAATCATATAAAATATCAAATCATCATATCATAACAAATACAGAGTAATTGAGCACATATCAAAATTTTAAATTTTTCGTATAGCGGCAGACAACAAAAGCCAATGAATAAAAATTGTATGATTCCAGAAAATTACAAAATTACCATAGATCATATAAAATAACATTTCAAAGCTTTAATTGTACTGAAGCAACATTTTTCAACATCCCGATAATTTTCTATTATATAAAAACTCCTCAGAATTCAAAATACCTGGTGCAAAATTTCCAGAAAATACTCAAAACGTGCAAAATCATAATCTCTGTGACATACCAAAAGTTACGCTGTAAAAGTTTTACCGATGCAAAGATATACCCGTTTTTCGCTAACGGAAACAAAATTTTAATCAGAAAATCCATCAAAAATCATATTTCTGAAAATTGAGAAAGACCTAATGTGCCTTACCTCGAGTCGATCAGCTTTTCCAACTGCGACGACGGACAAAAACTGACCGAAGACGCCCAAAACACGAATTTCTTCCTCTTATCTTCGTTTTCTCTCTCTCCTCTTTCTCTCTCTCCAAAACGAAACAAACATTTCTTAGAAAGATATCTACGTTCGTCCGGACGATGCTTCTCATTCGTCCCGGGACGATCCTCTGTATATTGATAGTATGGAGGATAATTGATTTTCATCCCTGGACGATGTTCTCGGGCAAAAAATTTTTGTTCAGTTCGTCCCGACGAACCTGCACTTTACTCAGTTCGTACAGACAGTTCATACGTACTAACCATACAGATTTTCAAAACATTCTTCAGTTCGTACAAACGGTTCGTACGTACTAACTGCACAAAAAAAATTCCAAAATAAATTGAAAGTTTAAGGGTTTCACACAATCACTGTTGCCCAACCACGATCCTCCAACCATGTTCGCCCAACTATTATTCTCTCTCCATCGCCACCTGAATACGGCCTTCTAATCATCACTACATGAAAGTTACCTTTTTTTGCGGCAGACATATCTACCGCAAAATAAGAAAATTTTGTCGCAAAGTACGATTTGCAGCGGAATGTAATCCAACGCAAAAAGTGGCATCGTAAAATTATTTGCGGTAGAGAAAATCTGTCGTAAATATTTCCAACAAGTTTGTAACAGAATTTCAGCCAGAAATTTAAAAAAATACTACAAATTCTGCCCAGCCGCGCAGGCTGCCCACACCTGATCGGAGTGCCCTCTACCCGTGCCATCTCCCGCCTGACTTGGCTGCCCGCACCATCTTCCGCCTGATCGGCTTACCCGAGATTCAAACCCTGCTGCACTCATAAAAAACCATCACCCTTCTCTACTCAACCGCGGAGCAAAACAACTTAAAAAGATTTTTTTATTATTTATTTCATAATTTAGCTTGGAACAGATTTGCGACGACAATTTTCGCCGCAAAACAAATAAAATTGCAAATTCGTCGCAATTTTTGACAAAAAAATAATCCGTTGTAAAGTCCGCCGCAAATCCGCTGCAAATTGTTAACTTTCATGTAGCGCATTTCCTCTCAACTACTATCCCTATACCACTGTCTTGTAACTATTTCTTTTCGACTACTGTCACCTAACTACAATCTTTTGACCATTGTTGTTTGATTGCGAATTTCAGACTATAGTGGTCCAATGGTGGTTGTCAAACTATAATGGCCCAACAACCAGATTGTAGTGATCCATCGAAGATGTTTGGGTGATGTGGTTCGATGGTGGCGGTCCATTACCTGTGATTTGACAGTTGAGTTCGCTTCAAACTATAGTGGTGCAATAGCTTTATCTTCAGTTCCCTGTGTCTGATTGGACTGCCCACTATTCACGTCATCTCCCGCCTGACCAATTACCCTAACCATCTCTCGCCTGACATGTTGTCACGCTTGACTGAACTACCCATGCCATCTCCTACCTGACCAACCTACCCGAGATTCAAACCCTACTCCACTCATAAAAAATCATCACCCTTGTCCACTCAGCCAAGGAGACAAAATAACTTAAAAAATAATTTTCACTGCAAATCCGCCGCAAAAAAATTGTCAAAAATTGTCGTCATAAATCTGTCACCATTTTCGACAAAAAATAATATGTCGTAAACTGTTAACTTTTCTATAGTGCATTAACGCTCAACTACTATCCCTAGACCACTATCTTGTAACTATGGCCTCTCAACTATTGTCACCTAGTTAGAATGCTCTAACAATTATTATCTTTAGATTGCAAATTTCATACTATAGTGATCGAATGGTAGTGATCAAATTGTGATGGTCCAACAACCAAATTGTAGTGATCCAACGATAATGTTTGGGCGAGAGTGGTTTGATGGTGGTGGTCCAATAACTATGATTCAATAGTTGAGCTCCCTTTGGATTATATTGGACCAATAGCTTCATGTTCCCCCCCCCCCGGATCAAGAGTCTGGGCCTGTTTATAATTTTTAAAAGTTTCTCTTTATAAATATATTTGTAATTTGAAATTGTCCATCAGATGGCTCATATTATCCCCTGGATCATAAACTTACTTTCAACATTTGGGTACCTTAATGATATTGAAGTTAATGATCTTGAGCTGGTTGGATATATCTAGTTGAGATGCTTGATTTGATTATAAGTATACTGACTTTGGGGATTATTTAGTCACCCAATTAATATTCCAAAGCTTTCAATTACATTTCAAGAGCTTGATTTAGTCTCATTATGAGTCGAAGCGAATTAGTTTTAGTGTCGATGGATTCATCTTCCCAAGACATTTAGCTAAACCATGAATTTGTTGAAGTCAATATGTCAGTGTGCATGTGATTAGTTCTGGAGCAACTCAAAGGGATTCTATCTGCAGGAATATGAATCAGGAATTTCCCCTTAAGAGCATTGTGGCACTGGGGTTGGCGATGTTGTGGTATTGAACTCTAATTTTGAGAAATTGTGGTGAGCATGGTGGTGTTGTGGCGCCTTGTTCGTTGTTTGGAGTGTTGCGGCGTTCGCCGAAATTTTTTATAAAAATATCAAAATCTAGTAAAAATATATCATTTTCCAACATCCCCCAGAGCTGCTGGCTTCAGGCTATTTTGAGTTGTTTTATATTGTCGGCTTAGTTTGGGAAGTTATCCGGATCAAAATAAATTGCATTATTTCTATATCGGTTTTTAATAATGCAAAAATTTTTAAATTTTCTTGATAAAAATTATAGTTTTGTTATTCGAATGAGAATAACCGCACATTGGCTAAAATTTTACCGCGTAACTTTTAATTTGTTGTTTGTATGAATGTTCTAAATATTTTAATATTTTATTTGAAATTTTTTCTGGTAGTTTTGAAAAATCTGTCATTTTTACTAATATGCAAAATAATCTTCAAAATTTATGTTGATTATAATAAAAGCTTCAAAATAGTGTTTTGAATGACCCCTAGAAATTTTGTATGAATAAGAAAATAAGAAATCTACCTGGTGTGCTAAAAATATAAGTCGTTGCTAAAGTATATTGTTATACTCTGTATTTATATTTTTACATAATTATAATAATTAGAAATCTCATGTTAAAAATTCATTTCATCTTAGAATTAATTAATAATAATAACAGTTTTATGTGAGCTTAAGCTTCATAATTATATTATTAAATTTTTTATTAATTTATTAGTCATACACTCATACGTAATTAATTATATATCAATTAGAATTGATGAAGCAGTTACATGTTATTAAATGAATTTAAACTTAATTCTTGTTTCATTAAATTCATCGAGAATCTCATGTATGAATTTTACAAACATTTGGGAACCATATTCAAAACTAAGCAAAATAAAAACAAATAATACATCCATTGATCTATACATATCAGCATTTTCTTTTTTTTTTGAGAGAGATTTTTTCAAGCATCAGGTTTAATTCAGCAGCAGTACTTATTATCATTTTGAGCTTCATTTGAGACAGGTTTTTGATTGCTTCTTAAACTAATTTTTTAGTACAAAATTTTTAATTTTTGTATTAAAAGACTACTTTAAGAAGCATTAAAAAAAGCTGTCCAAAACTAAATCTTAATTACACACAATCACATAACAAATAAGAAATCCATGCAATCACAAAGCAAAATAAAAACAAATCTGATAAATAACCCAAAAACAGTGGTAGCTATGCTACACATCTCTGTTGCAAGCCATTATTCTACACACAGAGGCTAAATAACATGATTGATAGCTTAATAAGCAAAATAGTATGGGTAAGCTATGAATCCAGTTGGACGTTGATAAGCTCAAGTTGGACGTTGATATGCTCCAGTTGAAGGTGGATATGCTCGATATGCTCCAGTTCGAGGTTGATAAGCTCTAGTTGCAGGTGGATACGCTCGATATGCTCTAGTTGGAGCTGGATATGCTATAGTTGGAGGTTGATAAGCTAGAGGAATTCCATAAGTCTCGTATCCACTAAAATGTGGTTGATAGGCTATAGTTGGAGGTTGATAAGCTACAGGAATTCCATAAGCCTCGTATCCACTAAAATGTGGTTGATATGCTACAGTTGGAGGTTGATGTGCTAGAGGAATTCCATAAGCCTCGTATCCACTAAAATGGGGTTGATAAGCTACAGTTGGAGGTTGATGTGCTAGAGGAATTCCATAAGCCTCGTATCCACTAAAATGTGGCTGATATGCTACAGTTGGAGGCTGATATGGTAGAGGAATTCCATAAGACTCGTATCCCCTAAAATGTGGTTGATATGCTATAGTTGGAGGTTGATGTGTTAAAGGGATTCCATGAGGCTCCTGTGGTTGATTTGCTACAGTTGGAGGTTGATTTGGTAGAGGAATTGCATGAGGCTCGTAAGCACTAAAATGTGGACGTGGGACTTGAGACTGCAATCCGTCGTGCTGCGGGGCAATGGCGGAAGGACTGTTGTGAACGTGTGGAGCATTAGTTACAGACTCCTCCTCCTGAACTTCTTTTTCCTTTTTCTTCAACCAATTGATATCTACAGAGATTTTGTTTCCCGCAAGGATTTTATTTGGGTCAGCGATGGCCGCCTTAGCAGCCTCAACTGTCTTGAATGTCACATACCCAGTTCCACTTGATGTTCTCGTACTTCTATCAAAGAAAAGAGAACCTTTTTCTATTTCCCCATACTTTTTAAAGAAACGGAGAAACTTATTATTTGTTACATCTGAAGAAATACGTGTAACGAACAGATTTCTCGGGTCTACATCGGCATCGGCAATTTGAGCTTCAGGAGCTGGCAGTTGGTAAGCCAGACGGCCGTCGACCCATGTTTTTGGTTTTTCCAGTGCTTTTTTAACAGATTCTAAGCTTTTGAATGTAATGATGCCAACAGAACGAGACTTTCCAGTTGCTATGTCAACTACAACATATGCATCCTCAACTTCACCATATGAAGAAAAGGCATTACCCAAAGTTTCTGACGTAGTTTTCTCACCTAAGCCATGAACAATAAGTTTGCGATGTCTAGCGGTATGCCTCGCTGCACCTCTAATTTCTTCAGCAGCCTGAGGAATTTTCATACCTAGCTCGACGACGATATCAACGAGCTGGTCTTTATTGAGATCGGTAAGAAGAGATCGCAGGTGCTGATCCTCAGATTGGATGTTCGATTTCGAGGGCTCACCATAGTCGGCGCCTTCGTTGTCTGCAGAGTCATTTGTTTCAGACTCCATCATGCGTGCTTAATTTTCTAATTCGTGGTGCCATGAAAGAGAAGCAAACAAGATTGGGATGGTTTAGGAATAAAAGTGAGGGCTCCAAAAAATATGGAGAAGAAGCGCACAGCATGCCAGGCGTCCTGTTACTATATCTTGCTAGTTAGAATGGTGTGAATGTGTGATGCTATTTTCTCTGACGCTGAATCAGGCAAAGATGTTTACCAGCTTCGATTTTCTGGGTGTTACAGCAAATAGCAAACCAGGAATATTTGGATTTGACTTGGCCCTCCTGTGCTTAAGCTTTGATGATAGATAAAGAGTTTTACTTAATTTTTTACAAAGATCCAACTCACGCGGACAACAAGATATAATGAATTGGACATCAGACTTTCTATATTAAAAATCAGGAAATGAAAAAAATAAAAAAGAGGCATATCCAAATGAAATGATTTACAATGTACATGGATTGCAAGACTCCACTCTTTCCCTTAATTAGGAAAACAAAGATTATAAAATATATAATTCAAATTTTTAAAATCTTACAATTGAGATTCTTAGGAATATTATTATTATTATTATTATTATTATATATAAACCTTGGACTGCCACTTGTCATCTATGTGGGCGAGCAGATGGCTATCCACACGACGACATAATAATTTTTTATTTATCTTTAATTTTTATTTTTTATATATTAAAGCATTTTTGTTAAAATCAAATTATCATATAATTTTTTAATAGCAAAAAATATGATATTTTTTATATTATCTTCTAATTTCTTAGAAATTTTTTGGTGACGTAGTTTTTTTTTTCAATTTTTAATATTTTATATATTAAAATTTTTTGTTTTGATCAAATTGCTTTATAAATTTTTTAACAACAAATAAGATTTTTTGTTTTAAATTTTCTTCTATTTTCTTAGAAATATTAGCATAAGTAATAGAATTTTTTGAACTTAAGTTTTTTTCTTAATTTTTAATTTATTTCATAAAATTAAGATTTCATTTTAGACAGCTTTTTTAATGATTTCTTAAACAATTTTTTAGTCAAAAAAATTTCTTTGAATTGAAGCAAAAATTTTTGTTTGCAAGGCTGCTAATGGAGGGTGAGGTGCATTATAAGTATCTAATGTATTTTATCTAATCTAATCAAAATTAATCATAAATAAGAGCAACTTAGCGACAAGACCATGTAGCATATCAAAATTACCATATTATTGGATTCTGACTGTCCCGCCATGCAAAAGGTGATGCAGACATCATAGTTAAATTGTTTCTTAGGCACATGTTACTTAGTTTGTTATAAGTTTATTACAAGTTTTCTAGAATCTTTTAGGACACAACTCTCCTTGGCCTATTGGTTGAGAGCTTAGACTTCCAACTAAGAGATCCAAGGTTCGAGTCTTTGTGTATGTGTTGTGTGTGTGAGTTTGCCTTAATTGGCCTAAATGTCCCAAAAAAAAAAGAAAAAAAAAGAATCTTTTAGGATTCTCTAGGTTGTCTCTATTTGAGTATTATTATATTATATATATGTGGAATGTGTTAGAGGAAAGGAGGATATGAGGAATACTATCTCTTTTTGAAGCTTTCAAGCTTGTGTTTATCCATGGATTGAGAATCCTTTCAAGCAGGTCTGATTCTTCTAACAATCACCACATCAGTTTGGTATCAAAGCCTGGAGCTTGCGAATAACGATGGATTGCAGAAAAAGGTGGGCTGTCGACGACGATCAAAGCCAAAGAATAAGATTGGTGGTCGACGAAGATCGACGCCAAAGAAGGTAGGCTGTCGACGATGATCGAAGTCGTATAGCTTTTATCAAGCTCAAGTGAAAGTATCACTTGATCGAATAGACAAAAACCTGCGGTCCATAAGGAGAATGCGAATGTCGTTGGAAACCATACCGACGTCGTCGCCTTCACTCCTCTCTTCCGCTTCAAGCGATCGCAAACGGTTCTGAAATCAACCGCTTGTGGTTTGAAGACTACCCTCTACTTGAACTCCCTCTCTGATGGCGCGATCCGCCGCCGAAGTTCCCTCTGCTCGAGCTTTCTCTCCGATGGTGTGACCCCCCTCCGCTTCAATGCCAGATCCATGATCCAGAACCTCCATCTTCTTCTATTGCTACCTCTGCCGAAGAGATGAGTGGAGGTGGAGGAGAAGGTGCTGAGGGAGTTGGCGATGGTTTGGGTGTGATCAAGGAAGACCTTGTTGAGGATCCACAGGAGGAGGAGAAGGTGAATGAATTGTCCATAGGAGGAAGTGAAGGTGCTGAGAGAGTTCACGATGGTTTGGGTTCCATCAAAAATCAGTTTGTTCCGCCCGTAGCGCCTCCATTTGGAAGAAATGACGGCGATTGATGCTCCCATCCACTGTCCAAGCTCCTCATCCAAGTAGCCCCAGTATCACCTTATTCATTGCTTTTTAAGATTTCCTTGCAAAACATAGAAAAGAAGCAATGGAGTGAGAAAGAATTATTTAAAAAATAATAAATATATAAATTTAGCTTTTAAAAGTAAACAAATTTTTACCTTCCTTTAAGCTTCTTAGTTGACTTCGATTAATGTAAAGCTAATGAAATTGTTCAATTATATTATGATACGGAGATTTAACAAACATATAAAACTTTTTTTGTTCTGACATTGACACAACTTTCTATTGGACAGATTAAACACTAACGTTTATGCACTTATGTTCAAGAAAGAGAATGAATTGTATTATATCTCTTCAATTAAGTTTATCGTGTGAAATATTCAACCAGAAATATCAAAATAAATTGAGGTTTGCACTTCATGACCAACATGATGTATATAAGAGTTTCATATTGTAAAGAGTAAATCTACATATATTTGAGAGAGGTTCAGTAGAAATAAACAATCGAAATAATTATCAGGCAAAATCTTAACAAGATCCATGCTACAGTCTTGAAGCGCTATCAAGCAATTCGATACAATTTAATGGATTTTGATCTGCATCATGCGAAACAATTTTCAGAATTAGTCATTTCCAAATTTTATTAAATATAGATTTTAAATATTTACTTAATTTTTGCTTCGAATAGATCCTAATCGTGATCAAATAGAGTCTTACAGTATCTATGATTTTCATACAGGATATTCAAGAAATAGTTAAAAAAAAAAAAAAAAGCAAGGAAAAGATGAATGTTATTGAATTTATCTCACACTTTGAGAAATGATAAAAGCATCGGGATTCCAACGACTGCAAGATCAGTAGCCATATTGTTGAGGCGATGCTAAAGCAATTTCAATAAATGAAAAGTAGATGCCACTGATCTTGAAAGAAATAAATCTTATCTTTCAAATATTGAATCTATAAACAAGGGAGGATTGACGAGCTGATCGGGCGTTCTTACTTGCAGGACAGAGAAGCTGCGATCGATAGACAGCTTCGGCCAGGAAGAAAAAAACGATTAGACTTCTTCTCTTTAAAAAAAAAAAAACTAACGGAAATTCACTTCAGATTTTAGGTAACATAGAATCTCAACTCATTGACAAACTTCAGTCATCCGGATTTAAACAAAGAATATGTAAAGAAGTAGCAAGAAGAAGAAGAAGAGGAAGGAGGAGGAAATGGATCGGAGAGAATGAGGAATCAGATTGAATAAAAGAGATTGGAGATGAAGGAGAAGGATTACCGGATTGTACTCGTCTCTCTCACCGAATGCAAGCTTCCGCCTCTCACACGGCCGTCCGCCTCTCCTCTTATCTCTCACGCTCTCAGGTTCGGGTCGCACGAAACAGCGAAGGGTCGGAATGGATTCTATTGCCGCCCAAACACTCCCATGCAACCCACCTTATAATCTAGAGGCTTCTAAAGAAGGCTAAAGACCATATTACCCCTTTATAATCTAGAGGCTTTATAATCAACCAAAGTATATTCATTTGAATGAATGAATTCAGACACATTAAGGTCGAGTGGATTTAAATTTGGGACGATCGGACCCGTCGAGCTACAAATCGTATCTGGTTCGTACTAAATGATGCCAATTTGTTTGAAATTGAGTTAGGTCGCTTTAAATTGAGTCGATCGAAATCGACGAGCCATAAATTGAGTTTGATTCGAGTAGAATCGGCTCGATTGTGCTCGTTTGAATTTATTTAATTAATAAACAATTTATTTTTAATAATTTCGAGCGTGAGTCAAGTTAAAAATGACTCGACAAATAAATATATTTGATTATTAATCAAAATTATTTTAGTTAAATTGGGCACAATTGACAATGACGTCATGGTCAAATAAGGCTCGAATTGAGTCGACTCAAACTTGACATCAACGAATCAAATTTACATGATCTAACTGACTTCAATTAACTCAAATTTAACTCAATTGAAAATTTGTCGTTGACCAACCAGACGATTTGAAAGCTGATTTTGAGGTCAACTGGAAGTTATTCAAATCAAAGTAGGTTGGATTCTATCTATATCAGTTTTTAATAATACAATTTTTTAAATTTTCTTGATTGAAATTATAAATTTGTAAGGTTCAAATAAGAATAGTTGCACATCGACTAAAATTTTATCACCTAACTTTTAATATGTTGTTTGTATGAATGTTCTAAATATTTTAATATTAATTTGAAAATTTTGGCTCTTAGTTTTGAAAATTTTCTTTTTTAGTAATATGGAAAGTAATTATAATCTAGAATTTATGTTGATTTACAATAAAAGCTTACCCTTAGTAATTTGGAGTGAATAAGAAAATATGAAATCTATCTAGCTTGCTAAATATGTAAGTCGCCCGTAAAGTATATCGTGATACTTTGTATTTTACTTAATTTCATTATCTCGTCTAAATTACAATTATGTACATGCTTATTTGTCTGAAGTGTATGATTTTTGAGTTCTGCTGTTGGGAGGAAGTCTTGTTGTGTTGAATGCACTGGGAGTTATAAGGGCCTAAGTTTTTTAATATATGTTGTGTTAAGCATTTGGAAGTGATTGGTTGGCTAATAATAGTTGTCATCTTCATAGTTTTTTGGAGTTTAATATTACTAATTTACATCATGTGCTGAAAGGTATGATTAATTTGGACAAAACTGATTTGCCTTATATCTGGAATGGTTGATGTTGTTGTTTTTCTTGGTCTTGTTCTTTTACTATTGTTGCGTCCAAGAGTATTCGCGGCGGTAGAGAAATATAAAGTTTAACGTCTTAGCATTGTACGAAAATTCGGCATGCAATCAAATAAGAGAGAGGGTCTAGCATTTATGGAACACCAAAATTTTTACGTGGAAAACCCCTGAAAAAGGGGGGAAAACCACGGGGCCTAGCCCAGTTTGAATGAATCCATTA